GGTTGCGTTGGTGTGTTTCCAGTATCTGTGTCGGTCCTCCAGGTCAGATACACGTCGTACTTAACAGCTTGTGCCGTCGCATTAGTTGAAAACAGGAAACGTGACTAAACAAAACACGCATATTGTTAGATGAATGTTTCTATTCTTCATAAAACCGCTTCACCTCATGGTTATGAGGAAGTAAAATGATGACTTATATCTATTCAGATAAAATGAAATCAGTATTTTTTAACAATATATTTATTTATTTATTTATTTTTTTGATATCACATACTGCCTTCACCCTAATAAATTCCTGACTCTAGAACTTAGGCAAATGTAGTCGACTTGGTTGTGGTGGGAGTGAGAACTATATTTGATTTCGAACAACTTTTATTGTTGTTCCAATAAATGTTATATTTAAATTTTTAGATACATTACATCGGGACTTCTCTTGTAAACAATTTTAGCTAACTCAATTGAAATATTAAAACTAATTGAATATTTATTTTCTCTCTGAGTGTTATTAAAAAATAAAGTGAAATAAGAAATAAAAATTAAAGTATATCAACTCCGTAGATTATTCGAGACCCCCCTAAGCCGTTTTTGCAACATAATACTGAATGCAATGACTCATTGAGTTTGAATATTTGAATAATCTTCTCTTTTTGCATAAAAGGCTTATTGGTATATTTCAGTACTTCTGCTGCATATAATGCAGTACTTCTTCAACTACTACTACTACTACTACTACTACTACTACTACTACTACTACTACTACTACTACTATTACTACTATTACTACTACCACTACTACTACTACTACCACTACCACTACTACTACCACTACCACTACCACCACTACTACCACTACTACTACTACTACTATTACAACTACTACTACACCTTTTTGTCCATTTACCTGTGTAAGTTTTATATCTTTAGCGCCTTCCTTCTGGACCGTAACAACAGGATAACCAGAGTTCTTTGTCCAGTTCTCAAGTATTGCCGTTAACTCTTTATCATCTGCAATCATTGTGCCGTCATTGTTATGATCTACGAACTTTTCGATGAGTTCTTCTGGTTCAGCCGACTGGAACCGCCTACGAGTCAGAAACAGGTGATTAAAAGTTATTCGAACGTGTATGCGCTGAAGTGTATTCCTAGAGTGTTTTGAGTCACATTTTGTAAATGCGTCTGTTAAAAATAAATTTTGCATGCGAAACAGTAAAATCATCTCTATTCGCATCTAGTTTGACGAGTGGTATATGTTCGGCTGTTACTCTTCCTACGTACCTTCCAGCGTCATCACCCTACCGCTTAGACTACTAACGCAATATATAATAAAATATCCTCGCGGAGTTTGTGGTGAGATAAATATGACATAAACCTCAAATTCCAGAAATTATCGAAGTTTTTCGGTAATGCGTGATCTCAAAACGCCATCAAGTATTTTGCAGGATCGGAACAGAATTGCGGTTTTCCATGTTTATAGCGTCATGAGAGACAAAATCAACACTTGCAAAAATTGTTGAATAAGTTTATATAAAAAATGCCCAGCACAGAGTTGTTTTTCATTGCCAAAGTTAATTCTGCTTAATTTTCATAAAATAAATGTGAAGACAAATAAATTTGAGGGCAATTAAATGATAAAAACGGCAATTTGAAAGAAATCTGTTTTGTTTTTTCCCCTTCATATACATTTTCGGGAGGCGAGTCCCCCGGATCATCTACCCACTCGGTCTTAACACCAATCGCCGACCCTGGATTCCTAACATGCTGTGTCGGTATGGATTTGATAACAACAAATTTACTGGTCTGTAATTCGCTTTTGCAATCATTGTTTGGGTACTCCATATGACTTCTCTGGAGTAGTCTGCCTTGGCGCAAGCTTGCTCATGTGGGCGGCCTGCTAGGCAAGGTCCGGCGACGCTTTGATCTGTTGGACATCGGACGCGGTGGATATGTTGGACATCGGTGTGGTCTCTGATGAGGGTTCGGGCGGGGCGCTCGAACGCGACTGGCTCTAGTCTAGTGAAATCCGAGTGGCGAGCGCGGGTAACTGCAGTGGGTTCTCGCGGACAGCCAACCTTGCATTTCAGCAGCTCTGCCGTGTGCTGGAGTGCTCAAGTAGGTGTCACATTGGCGGACACTGACATAGAGCTGAAATCGGTGTGTCCCTCAGCCCGAAGGGATATGAGGATGAGGGAGGCGCTCGGGCGCGACTGGCTCTAATCTAGGGAAAGGTGAGTGGCACGCGGGCAATAACAGCGGTCCTTGCGAGCAGCCTAGTACCAATCCTTGCATTTGAACAGCCCTGCCCTGGCAAGAGAGCACAAATAAGTTCTTATTGGCTTACCGTTTGTTGAGACAGTCCCATGGGAGGGAAGGTTAACGCTCCGGCGCGATCGGCTCTAGTCTAGGACAAAGAGAGTGGTACGCGGGCAACTGCATAGGTCCACCGCTAGCAGGCTGACCGGGATACTCACATTTAAGCACCGCTACCTTTGCGTATGAAATATATTTTCTTACTTGAGAAAAATATATGACACTTGTCACGGAAAATGGTAAATTAAATTGGTAAATTATTTAAAATATCCTAAAATTCAAATGTGAAGATAAAGATGTGATTATTTATTTCTCTTAATCGTATATTGATTCCTGTCGAGTTTGAAGGAATTGGTACATATAGTGTGGTAATTTCCAAGTACTAAAACTCTGATCTATTGCTGGGATCGGTACCAAATTTTGGATCCAAGTATCACCAATTTACGCACATGTCCACTAATCTACGCATAATGTCGATCAATCTTCGTCTCTCTCGTATCAGAACGGAGCAAAACAAGATTTTGCTTCAAGAATTAAAAAAATATTGAAAAAGAACTAAAATAATGGAAGACTTTCTTTCTTTTGTTTTCGCCTTATATATCTGACACCCTGTCGGCGATTAAGGATCAAGGCAGCAACCAGTTCTTTGGACCAGTAAGCAATGAAAAATGATGATAATATACTTTCGCGGTAGTGAGACCCTAACACGATTCGAACCCATGGTCTTTGACAGCCAAGTAGTTTTGCATCCGCTTTGATGATTCATCCTTCTTAAGAAAATGTTATCCATTTCTCTTTAGTATTTAAAGAAGCAAATGGGTAATTTGTATTGCTTCTCACAACTGATCTCCAAAATTAAGTAATGATATAATATTCTCGAAAACGTTTTTCAAAATCAACGAAGTATCATTTATTATCGATTGTGAAAACTAAGATGTTCCTGTGAACGCAATTCTTTGTTGTTGGCTAATGACATAGGTATCTTTCTACGAATGCAATAAAATCTACTCAAATAACTATTCAAAATAACCGTATATATTTTGTAATAGTAATAGTAGGAAAAAAATCTTACTTGTTAGCCAGATATTCTTCGACTGCTCTCTGGAAGGCGTCATCGCCCAAAACATTTCTTATTTGTCTGAGGATGGATCCGCCTGCAAGAAATTTTGAGGTTTACCATATAGAAATGAATTAAAAATACAAGTAGAATTATTTCTTTAAGAAACCGATATACACACATTTTGTTCATATTTACATGACCATCATTTACATATTTGCCCATTGATAATCGAAATGCACAGGAAATTAGACATAGACCTACATTTTTGGGTAGTTTTCATATTCTTCATTCCCTGTATTTATCTAAAAATTTTAATTTTTAATTAATAATAGTTGGGTATTCTGGTATTATTTATTTTTATTCAATCACTAAGGCGATCCGATAATGTTTGACTAACGCACTCAAATAGGTGCTATAAGAAACATAGCAATGACATCATTTTATTTCTCTATTGAATAAACGAAACAGAAGTCAAAAAGATTACAAATTTCATCATTGTGATTAAAAACCATAATTCCATTGAACATGCCCACAGGGTTATTCATGTTTTTTATCCTTGAATGCTTTCTCACTTTTCATCTGCACAGTAAACATTGCTTTTCTCCATGCCAGAGTACTGTCTGTATGCGTGTATAAAATTTTAATTTTTCTACGTAGATGCTATTACGACGGCATCTGGTGGTTCATTTATAAATTATTTATCAGCATAAACATTGTAGATTATGGTGCATATTTATTGTTTTGCCCTTTTCTAAATTAACTCTAGAGAACCTTCAGATCAGTTTCTTAAAACATCTATTTTATCTTACCGAGATTTCTTACATTTCTTATAGAATCTGATTTCAATATTCATTATTAATGTGAGAGTTTATCCCGTCATTGTCGATAGCCCACCCCTAGTATTAAATAAAGTTTAAAACTTGTTTTGTAATAGTCGTAAATAAAGTTTGAATGATACACGTTTCATTGTAATGTTCTTAGAAAATTCGTTTCATAATTCAGTATTATCAAATCTCTCAAAACATGAAGTTGGTAAATTATTTGTTTTTACGTTTTTATTGCGTTCACTGCAAATAATTCATTTAGAATTCTGCTCGCAATCGGGTAAAAAGGTCGATGATGGTTCGGAACTCGTGGAAACCCAAAGATGTAAAACCAAAGAAATAAAAGAAATGAACAAGTGGTGATACAATTGCACATACTGTCTCGCATTATTTCTAAATTTGTCCTTTTCGAAAATTTAGAGATTTGATCAAAAATTAGACCTGCGCCATTCTTTGAACCGTCTTTGTACTATCCGATGACAATCAAAACAATTTCAGACATTTTGAGAAAAATTTGAAAATGTAATTGAAACATTATGTAAAGTACTCTCAAAAATCAAAATATTGGTCTCAAGCTCAAAGGGCCCCGAGCTCTTTTAAATCGATCGAGGAATATAAATTTCCGGGAAAATCAGCTGAACGGTTTTGGCACTAGCGTTGACCACACACTGTCAGAAAGACGTTTTGCAGTCAATCGATTTTTCGGTATCAAGGACCCACAAAACCTAGATTCGTAACTAAACATTGTGTTAAGGAAAAGAATTTGCTATATACACGAACAAGATTTATTCACTATTTCGTTACCAGGGCTACGTCTTTCTGTCGATACTTCACCGTTTCCCCGCGCGCCATTCCAATATATAGTTTCTCTTCTTGCGAAGTAAGAGCGAGAAAGATAAAAGGGGGCTCACCCTTGCTGTAGGTGATGGTGCCGAAGTGGGCGCCGATTTCTTCCGGAGAGTTCACTCGGTCCTCGTCGAGAGTGAGGGCTGGGGACAAGGCGTCGGAGTCGGCGTCGAAGGCGTACATCTGCTCGTCGAGGACCATGCGCTCCCTCATTTTCCAGTTGCCGTACCTCGAATGCATGACCTCGTGCTCGAACAGGTCTGCGAAACCTTCGTTGAGCCAGATGGAGTTCCACCACTTGGTCGTCACCCAGTTGCCAAACCACTGATGCGCCAGCTCGTGAGCTATCACCTGGCTGACGCGCTTCTTGGCAGCTTCGCTCCCACCCTGCAGTTAATTTACTTTTGGTTACATTGTTCTGTTGCTTCGGCATAAAGCAATCAGTCAGAGCAAATAAAAGGCCTTTGTTAAAGACAAGTATCCATTAATCATTTTATCCACTTTGGTTATCGAAAGTCACAATGTACGAAATTGTGGTGCCGCACAAATGTTATTATGTCCTTAAACATAAATCCATGATGATAATGTTTACTAATAATAAGTTTTGTAATGTAAATAATATTAGAACAAATTCATAGCCTCGTATTAATTACGAATACAATCAATACCACCAATGTGGTGAAAGTGTAGTGTAGTGTAATGTAGTGAAGTGAAGTGAAGTGTGAGAGTGGATGGGGAGCAAATCTAAATGCTTAAAGAGCTAACTTTAAAAATCAGCATTATGTTTCTATTTAAAAAAGAAATTGTATAACGGATTAATTTTATGTATATCTGTGCATGTTTACTAGGTGTAACTAAATATATGTTCTTCATATAAATGTAGGCACCATATACCTATGTCCAAGTGGTTTCGTGTGATGTGGTGAAACGTGAGCAGTGAGCATTCATGTATAGAAGGTGTATGTATATGTGTGTATATATGTGTATGTATATGTATGTATATATATATATATATATATATATATATATATATGTATGTATGTGTATACATGTGTATACGTGTGTGTATGTATATGTATGTATGTGTATGTATGTATATGTGTGCCCATAGATGTATACAGGTCTGTGTACATTTATATATTGAGTGTATGATCGAAAGGAGTGTATTGTAAATTGTTTTTATATGGGTAAATGTTTTGAATTATAAGTGTTCATATATTATAAAACTGTAGGGTTATGGCTACCACCTGGCAATCAGCCAATTGTAACCAAATAAATATTATCATTATCATTAATACGTAATCATTGTATTCGTGTTTTTGAATACTTTAGATTGGTGGTAGAAAAAAACAACAAATATTTCCTTTTAATATATCAAAGTAGTGACGCCTGAAAATTTAAAAATGTTACAAAATTTAAAAAAAATTGTCATTCTTTCATTCAAAATTACGCCAAAGTGAAAACTGTTCCTATTTTGAAAAAACTTTACATGACATTTATTAAACAACTAATTTTTAAAAACAGATTTCATTTACAAAAACATGCTCTCTATAATAAAAAAATTGTTGGATGGGTCCCGAAAATTTGTAACTTTAGCAATTTCTGATAATTCAGAGAATTAAATACGTACCTGCGCCTTACAAGCATGCATAGCAAATTCGACCAAATATTTAAAGAACAAAATTTCCGCGACTTTATATAAATCAATGGAAGAATGGCAAAACTCTTTTGAGTTTGGTAAAAATCATATGAATTTATTTGGCGCTGATGTTCACAGACAGAGTGGCGCTCAGAAGAATATACATTAAAAAACTTTTTTATTATCAAAACGTGTATTTATGTGAAAATCGCGACATCAGTATTGTTTGAAGCATTTCATATCTCCCTCTGTAGGTATGAAAAAGAAAAACATCAGTGAACATCGGAATTAAAGAAATTTAAAGAAATAAATAATTTAAAGTGTTTGAATTTCGTTACAATTCTTTTAAACTATCACATTTCCATTTATATTTTGGAAAACGGAAAGTTTTTCTGACTAAAAAATGTTGAAGGACTACGGCTCATAGTCAATACAAAGGTGAAAAATAACTGGACTAAAACCAAAAAATTAAATCACTTATTCTGTTCGGAGCAAGAAGAAGATAATTAAGTGAAACATAATTGAAATAATTTTAACAAAGCACCAGAAATAATTGATTTGAGTTTCAAGTACATATGAATATTTGAATTACCTTTTCGAAGAGAAGAGCACTCTCGCGGTATGTGACGAGACCCCAGTTTTCCATGGCGCCAGACGAGAAGTCTGGGATTGCAACTTGGTCCATCTTTTTCATTCCCATGCTGTTTGAGTTGTCTTTGTCGCCATAGTACGTAATTTTAGTGTATGCTTCCAAAAACGCAATCATCGCAGGTCCATCTGCTTGGCTCAACTCGCCCTGCCCGTCATTTATAGCTTCCAGCCGTCCAAAAGTTCTGAATTTAGCATCATCGGCCTCTTTTGTATTAAACGAATCTTCCTCGTACACGACGAATGCCAGGAGATACGTAGGCATCACGGGAGATACACCAAACGTAATTCTTTTATCTTCTCTGGAAAAGAAAAAAAAACACAGTCACAGTGAATGAATTTCAAGTGAGAAGAGTCTGTCTGACAGGGCTCACGCCGCGATGCATGGCTATGATCTTGTCCCGCTGGATGGCGGGATCTGCCACCGAACTACAGGTCACGTAGCGTGGTTTTCCCCAACCAAGTATCTCCTACGAACGGTGCACCGTCCCACCCGGGATGAGCTACATACTTCCGATTGGTAGTATGGAGTGTGGTAGTGAAAGTCGAAGTGAGTATATGAGTGAAAGTGAGCAATCCGTGATAAACGTGCTCTGACGCACTGTGTTTCGTAACATCATATGAAAACGAGGAGTGTTTCTGCCACACAGATCTCCGATTTCCACGTATGTCCACTGTTTACTTGTACTTACATCTACCTTGGAGCACAGCCACTAGCAGAAAAAAACATTTTCGTTTGCTATCAACGTATGCGCTGAGACGCGTAGTTGCTACAGCTTTCGGAGTGACCCTTTTACATTTTGATTAAATTCACAATGATTTATGTAAAACATGTACGAGGGTTGAAGCAGAAGTCATGCCTCTATTCTGTTTCTAAAATAACTGTTATCCAATCCTACAATTTCATTTGTAGCGTGAAAGAAATGCTGCAGTAGTGTGTGTTCGCACCAACAGATGGCCCTGTGAGTGACTATTAGCACCGAGAGCAATGTGAAGTCAGCTGCCGATTACCGCCGTGCTAGATAAATGTAACTCATTTCGGTAAGAACTCTTACTCCGAGATATCCTTTCGTCGTGGGAGAAATGTCGGAAAATGTCATAGCAAATTGTTGGAAGCTTTCGGGAATAATGCCCTTCTCTACCGGGCAGTCGGGAGCTGACGCAGGGGAGTTTCTGCGAGGACGAGTAGCAGCAACGCACGGATGACCTGTGAGTGTTCGTGGACTGATGTGGCACTTGCTGTAATCGTGCACCTTCCATAATCGGACCTTTAGAACGGATATGTAACGCTTTTGGAATGTTGTAAACGCGTACATGCTGAACTTCTTTGGAATATGAAACCACTACTGTAATTTCGAATACCTAAATACATATAAGAAACATAATTTTGGTGTGTCGTTAAATATCTTCGTACTTAGTCTTGTCAATTCATATTTTCCAGTCGTGCTCGTACTCTCACAAAAAAAAGTTGGCATGTCTTATTTCTCAACCCTCATACAGAGATAGTCACGTAGCTGTAGGAACCTCTGCCATTTTTGAACGTTTAAAGATACTGTGTGAATTTGTTGATTTGCGCGGGAGACTGAGGATAATGAATACATGCATTGAATTCTTTTTATCTACTTTGGTTGTATTTGGTATGATTGTGTGAAGTTGAACTTCATAAAACTTCCATCAGAGACGTATTAAGATTTATTACAACACAAGTGTTCTAGTAATCCACGGCCACTCTTGACAACTATAATTCGTTTTGTGAAAATCTTTATCAGAAAAAAAGATTCCTATTCACATATGGTCTCCTTTAACTGTCACCTTTAGAAGGAAGAACTGTCGAATTGAAACCAAAAGTATGGTAGGCTACTTTCGAAAATTTACAAAGCGGACAAAACTTTCGATACTTGTTTCGTAATATCTTATAGTAACACTCGATTAGTCATCATACCCGGACTGTTGACCTGGTTTGTTGATTTCCCAAAACCGTCTTGTAGTAATACCATGTATTACGATACTTCCTTGTATGACCTACATAAATATTATCATTTACATTTTATGCGATAGTGAGGTCAATATTTTTTTACTTTACAACTTACCTGAGAACTCTAAGGTTTAAAGGGAAAATATAGAAACGAGAAAGGAAATCTATCAAAAAGCATCAAACGTTTTAAAAAACCTTGAACATTTTCTATTAAATACTTTATATTCATTATAACAGCGTAATTAGGTTTTGAAATCAAGGATCAAATATCTTAGTGAGATTTCTCAGGGAATATGAGACCTGTTGACAATTGCACGTAGCAAGGTTCTTCGTAGTCAAGGTGACGGGGCGGGCTGAAGCGGCGTGAGGACAGGCAGATGAAAAGTGCGAGGGTGGAGCTGGGCGGGTGGGAGAAGAGGTAACGGAATCGGACTGTGAAAGGCATGACCTCGGTGGGTGAGAGCAGGGCAAGCTAAAACATATGAGACATGTACGTATGTTTGCATGTAGACGCTAAACTACTAGACCGATATTGCTTAAATTATCACTATTTGTTTTTATTAGTGCCGAAATGAAGAAATGAGTAGATTGAAATAAATCGAGCCTTTAGAGACTTTTCATTTTGAAAAGTTATTCGACGAGGTGAGGTCTACATCGTTCCTAGAGGACCATGCTATCTATGGATATCGTTCTGAACTGCACACCTCATGTTGACTCACAATATTAAATGATATCGAAGTTGCGATCTATAAAGCATGAAGTCTGAACCAAGTGCTGACGCTACCCAACATTATTCGAATATTTCAATTTTAAAGTGTAGTGTAGTATAGAAAAGTGTAGTAAAACGTCGTTAAATTATATTAAATTCATAGTTAATCTGCATTTAATAAATATATTTTGAACTTGAGTGGTTTTTCTTTAATACGCTATAATAGTTAAGCATTGCTGGGCTCGTTAGTTATAGATATAATTAATTCCTTATCCTCGAAGGGTACATCAGAAAGTCCTATATAATATTCTTAGGCATATGACACATTACCAACTCCACACTGTGAGCGCATACTTACTCTGTTCCTTGAGTGTTAGCGATGGCTTTGACACCGTCGGTGACTTCAATTGACAGCTTGAACTCAGCCTTGAACTCGGGCTCGTCGAAGCATGGGAAGGCTTTGCGGGCGTAGGTCCACTCAAACTGAGTGGCCAGCACCGTCTTCCTGCAATTCCCAAGACACCATTAGCACATTTGCTTTTCCACCCGCCCTATTTTACTTCCTCTTGCAGCCCAACACGCGAATACTCACGTGACGTTGCTCGCATCTAGGTAGGTGCTTCTGTAGAAACCATTCAGTTCATTGTCCTGGAAGTCTCGAGAGTATGAGATTTCAATTATGATTTCAGCGCCTTCCTTGATCTGAGTCTGCTCCAGTTCAATCAATTAAGATATCCTGTGTAAGTTTTAATCCCTGTTATTTAGGTAGCAGAGAGGTGTTCCGTCATCTCCCAATCATACACCCTTCGTTCATCCATCACTTTCGTTCCACTACTCGTCTCCACTGCTCACAATCAACCTTCGTCTCCATTCATAACCTTCGTCTCCATTATCACATCCTTCTCATCATCACTTCGTCTCCATCATCACCTTCGGCACACTTCGTCTCATCATCACCTTCGTCTCCATCATCACCTTCGTCTCCATCACCACCTTCGTCTCCATCATCCATCCCATCACCTTTCACTTCGTCTCCATCATCACCCTTCGTCTCCGAATCACCACCTTCTCTCCATCACCCACCTTCGTCACCTTTGTCTCCTTCGTCACTTCGCCAACTTACAACATCGCCGCGCACGTTAGTCCTCGGCTTGCCTGAGTGCGCCAGTCTCGGCGGCGAAGACGATTCAGTGCTCGCGGCGATAGATCGATCAGTGCTCGCGGCGAAGACGATCAGTGGACGACGGCGAAGGCGTCCGTCGGGTAGACTCAAAAGATAATCGATACATCAATCTTTAGCGATTGTCAAATTAGATTTTCGCAATTGAGATATATTCCATTCTCGTCTGCCAGAGACTACATTTGCTGTTATTTTAACTTTCCCTTTGAAAGCCGTAATTCCATTTAGGCCGTTGCTCGTGTATTGCGGCGAGAGTGTTATCTCGTAAAGAGAAGGTAATATCCTTTGATCGCCCGGCAATCTGTATATCTTCTCCTCATCCTCCCCCTCCTTGGGAGCGGGGTCGGGAGCGGGGGCAGGGGCAGATGCAGAGGGCAGCGGGGATGCCCGCCCCTGCACCAGCAACGCCAGCAGCGCCAACAGCACCAACGCGCGCCACTGCACCATGACGCCCTGCACACATACACACACAGCCTACGTCACTCTGTTCGTCTCTATACATCGACACACAAAGGGTGCGTGGCAAACTGAATGCAATTTGTACAGAAATGTTTTTCGTTTATCATTTACTTTTTCAAGCAATATCCGGGTTGACTACCTTTCACGTCCGGAAAGTGAGTGTCTCAAAACATGGATAATTAGATCGTGTGAAATGCGCAGAATAGATAGTAGTGATTCAAAAGTGTGTGACTCCTAACTGTACTAAAATTACCGGATTAAAACATCTACTTTAGTAGATGCAAAATATCTATTACACGAAAGTTTTGAGGTGAATGTACGAGAAATATTTACAATTCATTGGAGAATAATAGTGTGGTTAAACGTGTCATACAATTCTCAATCAGTTTGTTTTCGAAGTGCGGTGAAGTGATAATAATGTAGAAGCAAAAATAAAAACTAATTGATTGTGTGTATAGTGTAGAACAAACTCTGGCTTTAAATTGACGTAAATTAGAACATACGCAAATATTTAATGACATTGTAGATGTTAAAACACATTTTACATTTAAGTTAAATTATAATTTTACTTAAATAATACGCGTTTTATCATAATAAGTATTATTATTATTATTGTTATTATATTTTGGTTGTACTAACATCAGCATTTTCACCGCCGTTTTGAAATGAAAACTGCGGTCCCTTCATTCTTAGCTGGTTTTCTGTTCCTTGCACTCTACGAGAAAAACGCTTATACCTCTCCAAATCATACGTTCCTAACTGAGCACCGCTTACCTTCGGCAAGTTAGATATTTGGTGACGCGCTGACCGGTTTAGACGTACAGTTTCGTGTGAGG